ATGAACGCAGCCATGCACCCATTCCCCAGCCAGTCCATGAAAATAACATCCGCGGAACTGTCCGGCCTGGCGTCTTCGTGTCTAGGGGGATGCGTAGTCGAACACAGTCCAGTGGAAGCTTTATTCGGCAAGAGTATAGGACAGATCGAGTAGAGTAGACTGAGACCTGGCAGCTGAAGCCGCCTTATATACTGGTGAGCACGTGAGTACCATGAGGTCGGGTGGAGAGATACAGTACCAAGTGAGGATCAGAGTATTTCGAAATACGAGCTAAGGCAACAACGAGTAGGAATAACAACAGTAAGTCAGAAGAGTAAGTGAACATTGGTGATTAACAATGTAAATTGGTGATAAATGTAACTTTGGTGAGTAAATGTAAAGATAGACAAAAATAGTTGCATTGTATCTACACTGCCGCTCGCGGCGAGAAGGTAACGGATCCCGACTCTTACTTTCTTCGCGGTCCAGTGTGGCGTGACTCGTGACGATGTTCCCCTCGGTGTGACGAACGATGTGCTTCTGATCCATGACGTTCGGAACGGCCCTTCGAACGTGACCTGCGGTTCCCAGTCGGCGAATAACGTCTCCTTGACGTGCTGGGTCCTGCCACATCAGCATGTCTTCGGAACGAAATTGGACGATTGTGACGAACACGCTCCGGGTCCCTGATGACAAAAAAGTTTGGCATCCTTTCCTCGCGTCGGCGTCGCCTCTGGTCCTGCTTCTCCCTCTGACGTCGTTCCCTGAGTTCCGCAGAGGCCATTTCGAATTCATCCATCTTTACATCGTTGATGGAGTGACTTCGCAAACTTATCCAAGAAAAGCCTGATCTGGTAGCCACCGAACTGTGACCTACCGCGGCGCGGGTGCGTACCCAAGCATGCGGCAGGGTGGGTGAACGGCGCTCCTTCCAAGACGTCACTGTAGTGATCGCGCACAATAGCTTCAAAGGAACGCTGCGGGTCCGTCATGTAGCGGACGTATTCAGCGCAGACCCGTCCCATATGCATCCATTCCGTATTATTGTCATCCTCGTATGGGCTCGGAAAGAATGCAAGCGAGCCTCCAGGCTGCAAGTGGCGTTCCAATGCGATCAGCACTTGGCGCATCTCCCGACTTTCCGGCGTAGTATCGGGCCACACAACGATCAGGGAGGTTACGATCGGCATCGTCACAAGCTTCTCTGCTAATCCATTCCAATCGGCGTACACGTACGGCGTCACGTTGCGCCCATAATCCACATCAGCGTTGACACGAGCGAAGGCAGGCGGCAATGCGATGAAGATCTCCGGCTCTCTATCCACTTGTGCACCAGGTACCCGTAGCTTGCCTTGGAGAGCAATGGCAGTCGTTAGATGTGCTCCAAGATCGTAAGGCACTGGCCAGGAGAACACTGCAGGGTGATCAAACTTCAGCCCTCTGGCGCTTTCCACGGCATCCGCATAGGTTATGCAACGTCGGCGATGGGCATCTATGGGCAAGCGCCAATCCATATGGGGTGATGTAGCAGGAGCTCTTTTTCCTGAGCTCTTCCTCCTTCCTCTCGTCGCCCCAGCACGCCTGTTCTGCGATTGATGCCACGTTAGCAAGTTGAAACATGTCCAGTACTTTCTTGGACCTGGCCATCGGGTGTGTTAGGCCTGGTAGAGCTACATGGGCCATCTGTCCGAACAGTCCACAGTTGCATCTGTATCGCAGGTTCAGCACGTTGTCGACGCCAAGCAGAGTCCTGGAAACATAAATCAAATTACATGATATCTTAAAACTACTTGGTGAGTTTCTTTTACGTGGTCTGCCCCTTTTTCCCCGGCTCTTCTGCGTTTTGATGGGGTCATTAGAAACGGCGGCCGGGAGTTTTCTTAACATATCAAAGGGCACTCTCACCGGCTCTTTGTTCTGACCTATTAGGGTTATCAGGGCGCTATTTTCGCTCACGCTTAGGACTCTATATGGACCCTCCCAAGGATTCGTCAACTTGGGGTTTTGTGACTGTCTCTCGCTGGGAATTTTCAGGTACACTCGATCGCCAATTTTGAGCGGTGTTTCGCGCACTTTCTTCTCTCGGTCATAGTACACTTTCATTCTGTGGCGCATTTTGTCGTTCCCTGTTCGACTGCGAGGTTCGTGCTAAGGTGTTTCCCACGGCTAGTTTCGTTGGACGATAGCTGTCGCAAGTCGCACCATGTTAATGTTACGTTTATAGTGGTATCCGGAACTGAGTCCATGCGCAATACGCATCGAAACCATGCAACAAAAAAAGTAAATGGAGATTCTCCCTGTAGACTTCCATTGGACCGTCGTGTTGTATCCGCAAAACACGCAGTATGGCAAGATTTTATCCCAATTCGCTGGGGATTTTGCACCTTTTTCCGCAACATTTTGACGATAGTCTGGTTAACCTCTCCGTTATCCCATTTTCTCGGGGGTTGTACCCTTTGGTGAACACATGTTCTATTCCCAGAATCTTTTTCAGTTCACTTATCAGCTTGTTGTCGAATTCGCCCCCTTGGTCTGAGAGTAGCTGCTTTGGCTGTCGGCAGCCTTCTGCGATCCATTTTCGAAGAACCACCGCCCTTGCAACGGTTTCTGCTGCTTTATTGGGTATCGCATATGCTCCACCATATTTAGAGAAATGGTCCACTACAGTTAGTATGTATCGGTTGCCACTGGAGGTGAGTCCCATTTCGAGGACATCAATTCCTACTATTTCGTAGGGCTTCGACGTCACGATAGGTTTTAAGGGTGGCGCCATGACAGGTCGTGTGTTGTGGCATAAGCATTCACGGCATTCTTCAGCCCATTTTGCCACGTCTCGACTCAGCGATTCCCAGAACAATCGTTTGGACAGTTGCCGTATTAGCTTCCTGGGGCCAAAATGCCCAGCTAATAGGCCAGCATGCGCTTCATCGAAGACTTTTCTGCCGCATCCATGGCGACCACCATCCTGCGAATGTTCGTTGTCCAAGCAGTACCGAAGGGTTCCTGATCCATCAGAAAGTCTGCGACCTTATACCGGCGGGCTACTCCAGGGAATATCACATCGTTGTCAGCCCTTCCTTCTTCTAGGTCGGTGATGACTTTCCCATACACTGAGTGCTCTCGCAACTCCTTGGTCCATTCAGACTCCTTTTGAACTGCTCCGACGATCAGTTCGTTGGGTATGGACTCTTCCGAGCAGCTCTCATTTGAGGCTACTGCTCCGCGACTCAGCGCATCTGCCACCTTATTTGCCGCACCTTTCAAGTAGATGATTTTGACGTCGTATTTTTGGAGCTCCAGTGCCCAGCGAAGAATTCTGGCTGACACATTACTCCTCTTGAACAAGGCAGTCAGCGCTTGATGGTCTGTGAAAATTTCGGGTATGGAGGCCATAAACGAACATGTGGAATTTTCTCAGCGCAAATACTACCGCAAGAGCCTCCAAATCAGTAACATGGTAGTTCTTTTCGCTTTTGGACAAACCTTTCGACGCGAAAAAATATGGGGTGCAAGAACCCATCTTCACCTTCCTGACTCAGCACTGCTCCTAGGCCTTCTGTGCTAGCATCTGTATGGATCTTGAACGGTTTCGTCCCACTTCTAGCTGCTTCAATGTCCGGTTGCGCCAGTACTGGGGCTTCCAAGAACTTCTAGGTAATTGATCTCTTTAGGTTTTTGAAAGCCTCCTTTGCAGCAGGTGTCCAGCCAAATGGTTTCTTTTCAGACGACGTCATTTCATGCAACGGTGCTGCGACTTTCGAGAAACCTAGCACAAACCAACTTCGCGCATATGTATGAGCACACATGCCGAGGAATGAGCGGAGATCTGCACGTGTCCGTGGAAGTGGGTACCGATTAATGGCTTCTACTTTTGCCGGATCCATATGCAGTCCTTCGCCGTCGATTACATGTCCGAGAAAATCCACTCTATCCTTGATCAGCATACACTTCCTCGGGTTCAATCTTAGTCCTGCTCCTCTTAGAGCTGAGAACACTTCTTCCATTACCTTCAGGTGTCGTTCGACGGAATCCGTCGCTACCATTATGTCGTCCAAATAACAAAACACCTCATCGCCAAGTAATGGACCGCGAGTACTAATGTGCATGAGACGTTGAACCTGAATGTGATAATGTTGAATCCGAATGGCAACACCGAAATTGGTACAATCCTTCGTTGGTGAACGTCGGACTTGCTCCTTGGACATCTGCGAAAGGCTTATCTGCCAGTACCCAGATGACAGATCCAGGGTAGAGAAACATCTTTTACCTTTCAAACTTTGCAAGATGGAATCCATCGTCGGGAGTGGGTAACTGTCAGTCTTCGTTACCTGGTTCACCTTCCGGTAGTCGACACATAGCCTTAAGGTACCGTCTTTCTTTTGGACCAGAACAATAGGTGATGCCCAACTCGAGCTGCTTGGTTCAATCACCTTCCTTTGTTGCAGGTCTTCGAGTATCTGACGCAGTTCCACCCTCGTTCCTAGCGGTATCGGGCGTGCCTTTTGCTTTGATCGGGTTTTGGCGCTCACCAGTTTGATGATGTTCAACGAGAGTTGTTTGGCTCAATTCCTGTTCATGACGCGACGAACATCGTGTATTTTCCTTACAAGATTGACCATAACTTCTTCTTGCTTCCCACTTTTACTCAAGTTCAGCAGTCGCAGCAGTTTGTCTTCCCGGTCTTCAGTCGCGTTAACCGTGCGTTCGAGCATATCACCGTGACACTTCACTGGCTCCGCGTCGACGATCTTCGCCGGCTCGTATATGCCCACCTCCTCCCCTTTTCGAAAAAGTTTGCTTCCTGCAAATCGTTCTAGTATACGGGGACGCGTTACGGAGTGGTCAGCTTCTGAATGAAGAACGACATCCGGTACTAGACTGCTTTTCGACCACAGTATACCTTCCTTTGTTCTGTTGGAACATCGTAGCGGAAGTAGTTTCGTTTCACCTGGACGAAGGTATGTTCGTTTGGCCACCACCGCTTGACTAGTAGTCGGTGACCTTCTCTCTTTCACCCGTGTTTTGCCTTTCGCCTCATCTGCAGTGACAGTGGGTCGCGTGTCCTCGAGGTGTTGCCCTTGGTTATGATTAGCATTGTCCGTAAGAAGGCTGACTCCGAGGGTTTGCAAAGCGTTGGTTCCCAAAACTAACGTATTGTCTCCTCCAGCCTTTACGAATAGTGCAACACGGCGTTTCTCGCCTCTCTCAAGTTCTATCGTCAACCTTACTGCTGCCGTCGATTACTGCAGTTTTGTTGCTGAAGGCACTCGTAGATTGTGCCGGCGCTTGGCTCGGTAATGGAAATTCTTCAACGTCCTCATCGAAGTTAAAACCAGACGTGCGACCTGCTCGTAGCACTTCGAGCGGTATTATGCTTATCTGGGATCCAGTATCTAAGAGCGCTTTTCGTGACAGCCCAAGAAGCTTCACTGTTTTGGTCATCCGCTCTCCTACTAGACCTTTGCATGTCGATGACGTTTCCTCCATTATACTTAGCCGTTTGTGCGCGGATGCGGTGAAAACACTTGGCGCGTTTGGGAGGGTTTCCGCCAGTTTTCTCTGTGCTCGCTGCGGCTTTAGCAGCCCCAGTTTTCTTGCAGTCCCTCGAAAAATGGCCATACTCGTTGCATTTGTAACATTTCGGTAGCTTTTTCCGAGATGCGGGCGCTTGGTTGTCCTTGATTTGGACTGCCAACTCTGCCGGTGCAGCATTCTGTTTTTGTCTGGGCTGTGGACGGTTCCTTTCGGCAGGTCTGCGTTCCTCAGGAAGAGAACGTTGCAGCTTTGAGGCATCTAGGGTCCTCTTAGTAGCTGTTGCTAATGCTCTGCTGCGTTCGCATCTTTGCGCCATGCTTTTGACCATTTCGTATGCAGATTCTTTTGGTGCTACTTCCATTGCCGTGTACAGCTGAAGGTATTCTGGCCAATCGGATAGCTGCGCAACCAGTTCCGATGCTCTTGTACGCGACAGCTCCTCTTCAGAGGCTCCAGGATAAGCTCTTTGCGTGATCTTCTCTAATTCAACGCAATAGCTTGTCACGTCACCTTCTTTGCGCAGCGTCTTCAGCTTCATGTAGGCATTTAACTGTGCGGAAGATTCGTTTTCTTTAAATTTATCGCGCAAAGCCTCAACTATAGCTTTAAATCCTGCTTGTTTTACAGATCTGGGCAAAGCATCTGCTACGGACCGAGGAAAACCATCCAATTTCGAAAACAGCAAATGCACAAGCATGTCATTATCGAGTGCAAGCCCTTGGTATTTTAACTTAAATTGGGCAAGAAAGTCCCCGAAATCTTTCCCGTTCGGGTCATCATACACACTCACGTCGGGCAGGGTCAGCGCAGCGAACATGCGAGCCATTTCAACCCCTTTTGCAGAACCCAACGGAAACTCAGTATACTCACCTTGGTGCCCTGGTGTCGGGATTGTCCAAGGGACTCCTTCTGCTTCTGCTGCTGCTTGTTCGTCTTTTCGAGCTGAAAAACATCATTTAGACCGGTGGGCGGCTCTCTGCCACTGCCTCGAGACGAACTACGTGGAACACACTGCTTACCTTGCGCGGCTGCGATTGGATCAAAGGTAGCGTGATAATCCACGGGTTCGAACTCGAACCGGTTCAGTTGTTCGATTGCCGCGGGGTTCGGAACCGCGCTTGACGACACCGCGCTCTGCTGTGGAACCTGAATTGAACGTCTAAAACAAGTGGTGTTACTGCATTTTCTGTCATATTTTTCTCGAGACTGTTTTTACAAGGTCTGATACTTTATCTACCACTTGCATTGTGTCCACATCCAGCAGATGTGCTAATTCGCGCATGCAGCTGTCGTCATGTTCTGCCTGTGCCAGTATTTCCATTAGTGACACCGGTATCAACTTGTCTATCAGCGAGCCTAGTGAGTGTAATCGCTCGCGGACAAAATCTAATTTTCGAAGTTCTCCTTGCAGAGTCTTCAGGTTTGGCTCGAAAAGAGTACTTAAGGTTTGTTCGACTTCCTGCGTTTTTTCCAGCGGGAAGTAATCGTTGAAGCAGCTTAGTATGGTTTTGGGCATGTCTCGGAGAATTTGAATTTTGTCTGACATTATATCACGAGACACCCTCACCTGAAGAGCATTCTTGCATGCTAGATCTTTCACCGTTCCAACTAGTGTATCTATGGATGCTTTCATTGAAGCAATCTGATCGGACGGTGCAAATTCCTCTAGCAATAGACGCTCAATATCTGCGTCCATAGGGATGTCGTCGTCGCTCATATCTGTTCTGAAATAGTTGTGATTACTGTATCGCTAAGATCAGATCTGCTTCTTTTTTGTAACGTAACGGCGCAGACGAATATTGCGAAATGAACCACAACAGGATGTTGAAGACTATAGCTAGAAATCAATAGGATCAAAGGTAGGAGTCTGTACTGACGACTGTACAGACGAGTGTTGCGAAATCCTATTGACACCCTGTACGAGGCTGGCTATAGTCAATCGATATGGCTTCGATCGATTACGTCGTAGTTTCCCTCGAACGGGTAGCCTCCTCACACTCGAAAAGTGTGGTTCTCTGCCTTCTATAGGTGGCAGGTACTCGCCTTCCGGTATTCCGGCTTTTGGCGGCTGTCCAACTGTCGAGCTTCCTTCGGTTCGGCTCCTATGTCCGGCCTGGCGTCTTCGTGTCTAGGGGGATGCGTAGTCGAACACAGTCCAGTGGAAGCTTTATTCGGCAAGAGTATAGGACAGATCGAGTAGAGTAGACTGAGACCTGGCAGCTGAAGCCGCCTTATATACTGGTGAGCACGTGAGTACCATGAGGTCGGGTGGAGAGATACAGTACCAAGTGAGGATCAGAGTATTTCGAAATACGAGCTAAGGCAACAACGAGTAGGAATAACAACAGTAAGTCAGAAGAGTAAGTGAACACTGTGATTAAATGTAATTGTGAGTAAATGTAATTGTGATTAAATGTAAAGATAACAAAAATATATGCATTGTATCTACACAAGTTTTTTTTTTCCGCAGCTGTATATGTATGTACAAGTGAAACAGAGCAGCAAAGCGTCTGGTTTCTGATACTTCGGTCTGGTGAAGTGACCCCATTAGACTGCTGCACAAAATTTACTCGATAAGTACTGCAAACCGCGAAAGCAATTTTCGCGTTTTGAAGGTGTTTCAGTGGGATAACTGCTTCACAACGCCGTACTACGCGCTACGGAAGTTATTACAAAAATGCTGAGTTATGGGCTGCCCGCTGAGCGGGGGGAAGCTTGTTGGAGCGCAGCCTGAGATCTGACTTTTGCCCATGACTCAGCGTTCTTGTGACCGTCTTCCGGCTTTTTAGTTGTGTCTTATGTTCTCTCTCAGGGACATTCCGTGAATGACTGATGGCCAGAGTCCCTAATTGTGCAAGTTGTAAGGTTTAATCTCCAGGGTTTCCTTATTTTCACGGTTACCTTCAATGACGAGGGCGCTGCAGTCATCAAAAGCTGGAGGAGCGCTACTCATAGAACTCACCACTCTCCTCTCACCCTTTGTCTCTGGACTTTCGCCTACGCAGTGTATCTATTCCATAAATACACCTCTATGATTGGACCTTTTTTCAGGATGTCTTCGACGTTTTTGTTGACTATCCTTCACTGGTAAGCCAAATTGAATCTAAAGTTCCATATCTGGACCACACTATGTTAACTGCATTCCGGAAAAGTGTCTTTGAGTGTCCTTGTGGTATTTTGATGGGATTCCAACAAATTCTTGGTGCTATGACCTGCACAGCAAAGCTTGTATTGTATACTTTAACACGGGTGTGTGTAAATAAAGGGTACTTTTGGGCTACCTCTTAGTTTGGAGGTCCATTAAAAAGTTTTCTTAGCAGCAGGATGCTATAGTCAATTCTGTATATTTCATTCATTAGTCACCCTGTTACAGAACTGATGATTCTGAGGCGGAGCGATCTTCTTCATTATCTGCGAGCACAGCGCGAGCTAGGCACGAAAGCGGAGAGCGTCCGGCTCCAATCGTCAGTGATCCCGTCACTAGGTAGCGATTCTTTTTTATACGTATGTACTGTACTGTTTTCGAATTTTGTCGAATGAAGAAAATTTGCTACATATGTTCATATATTTCCCTGTTGCGATTTTTGTGCATCATGTTTATTATAATTTTTTATAGGTTTAAGAAAGGACATCGTCGGCAAGATTCGCTTCAGGAGAGCATATTTAGTATGACGGAAAGGGATCTGAAGTTTGTATATGAAGGAGTTTTTATAAAAATTTGATTGGGTTACATTTGAGTTCTCATGTGTAAAAGCCTCTAATTTAGGACGTTTGATACAACCGAACTGTTACGACCGTCAATAGAAGGTGCCACAGATGGAGTGTCTCTTTTTCACGAGTTGCATGTGCACATGTTGTTGTACGGCGAGAGCGGACGTGTTGTGGATTTGGGTCGGGCCGAAACAGCTTTTCGTATACTGACAGCCTTGTTATGTCCTAGAGGTTCCCCTGTCACAAATCGTATGCTTTTGAGGTAATAGTTGAATTCATTCACAGAAACAAGTCTATTTTTAAATGGTACTTTTTCAGTTGCTTAGTTTCTTCCGGTACTGCAACTCAGAATGGCGAAAGCATTGGCTCGAGTCCCACACTGACAGTATCACTTGTGGATTTGATGGCGAAGCACGTCCGGGCCATACTCGGTCAACATTTCTGGGGTGTCACTGGCGATGAAGATGTTTCCAAACACCGGCATCTAACCCTGCTAGAGCTCCTTATAACGGTACGTTCTTTTCCGCCGTTAAGCCTGTATCAGGGGAAGCAGTGCTTTACCATGTATGTCCTCAACCATATACTTACCTTAACCATACAATTTTACTTATTTTTGAGTTGTTACACTTACTCTAATTCCCGTTCTTACAGATCTCATTGCACTTTTTGCGCTCTTTCTTCCTTAACTCGCCGATTTCTCCCGTTACTCAATCAGATTTGGTGATGGCATGGAAGTGTAAGGTTAGCCAGTTGTCAGAGTTATTCTCCTCGGTAATCGTTGCAATTAGAGGGATGAACCTCGTACTTTCTTTCTGAACAGCCTGAGTTTTTGAATTTTCAGATAGCAGCGCTCGATTTTCTGTCCGAACTGCTGGGGGAGCTAAGCGGAATGATTTGCGAACAGCAATCTCGGCCATTTGTGGCGTTTGTTCAGTCCGTTCTGTCACGGTCGAAGCTACAAAAATGCTTGCTTCATCTGCTACTGACTGCAGTGCACGACCCAAGGACGAGTGCCGAAGCAGGACAAGTGTGAGTGGCGCTGTGATGTTACACTGCAGTAATTTGTGCGTTTCATAAACTGCAACTTGAATCTTTTGAATCTTTAAGGATGCCTCTATCTGTGTCGATTGCTGAGTTCAACGAAGGTCGATCATCCAGCATGGGAAGCAAGTTGGCAGGACTTTTATCGGCGTACAACCGTTCGTTGCTAGGTGTGACAGCCCAGGCTATTCGCCTCGAAAGTGACATCAAGAATGGATACTCGTCATTCGGAGACATGGTAATATTCCTTTTGTTCGACAGGCCTTTTTTTACATGTGCAGTGACTATTTACCTTGTTTATTTATTTTTTGCGGCTTTCGTGCCATGTTGGCAACCCTTGTCTGATTTTCGGACGTTACAAAAGACCGCATCGGGACTTCGAAGGGGTATTTGTTATCCTTTTTACCCCAGTGATCAAAGAGTCTAGTTGAATCTGTGGGTAAAAGAGCATCAAGAAAGAACAGAGCAATGTCAGTAAGTTCTTATAAGGCTAAGCTCAAGGTGAAGTGATTGTTGGAGGGGGTGGTGATATAGTTTGAGATGACCTTATAATTAGTATTAGTAATTGTACGGGCTAACATCACTCAAAGCTCCAAAAACTTTTAACTTTCCTTTTTTAATTTTTAGTAAAACCTCGAATAGACTAGTTCTATGCATTTGCAGTCTTCGGAAGAAGGGGCGTGTCCGGCGAGGTCGGTTTGGTGCGACGCCAAATGCGTGACATTAACACGGACGATATGCAGTCCTGTCGCTTTCGAAAAGAAAAGGTAAAGAAGAGAGTTGTTGTCGCGCCAAACCCGTCCCGCCCAACACGCCTCATCTTCCGCAACGGATAATACTGTACGTTCATTCGGCTTACCCGGAGTATCCTTGTTTCAGAGCACTTCTGGCGCGATGATGAGCCGATTAAGCATAGCACAACAAATTTACAATACACCAGCTCATCGAGGTACATTGCGAGAGCCTAGCCCATCGCTAGTTGAACTACGAGCTTTCCTGCTGATTGTTCTAAACGCTTTGAAAAAGCGTCCAGAACGGCACGAAATGTGGTTCCAGTTTGTTGTACAAATACTGCCGTGGATGGAGAGGTACATCGTTCTTGAATTTTTGAAAATTATGTGCCTTCAAAGGAAGACAAGCAAGACCGTCGTAATTTGTCGCGTACTCCGCGTATCGTGCGATCGTACGCGGCAACTTCTCGATGTGCATCAGCTTGACAATGGGAGCAGCGAAATTTACGGATACAAGAGAAGGCAAGTCTCCATGACGGGCGATATAGAATTTTGATCTCCCTATAAGGGCCATATTCGAATGATTGCGATCAACTCATCTGTCGCCATCGTTCGCCACGCCTACCAGTGCGACAAATTACGATTGTCTTGCTACGTGCACTCTTGAAAAGCATTGTGTGATCACCAGCCCAATACAAGCTTTTAGGTCACTTGCAACTGTTATGGTACGAGTTGTGGAACAACTTTGTAAAAATATCGAAACTGCTATAAATGTGTGTTATCCCAACATCAAGGATACTGACAGCGCTCTGTCGCCAGTTCCTGACAATGCCTGTGATTACCCTGCTTGTTTCATTACGATGGTAGGCCTATATTAAAGTTCACCTATTGTTAAATAGTGCCCTTAAGCTGAAGTTGTTTCAGACGCTAGAAACCATTACAACGCTGATTCATTTCTGTGTGATTTATACTCATGCTGCTGGGTCAACGGTTCAAGCCACAACGCCTAGCAGTGCAGTAGCCCCAAGCAGCGGAGGTGGTGGCGGTATGGTTGGGCAGGTAGTGGCTGGACTATTGTTTTGGAGAGGAGGAGAGGTTGGTTTTAGAGATTGCTATTATAGCCGTTGCATTTAGGCGATGGCTGTGATCCCTGGTACCAAAGGTGCTACTGAACTGTTTTCCAATCTTGTCAAGGTGTTCAGCTTTAGCGATTCAACATCGGTGCGAACGTGAAAATTTTCTTGTCTGCTAATCGTAGAAGTAGTTGCGCATGCTGTTCCGCTTTTGTGGCTTCATTAGAGAAAGATCTCAGAATCTTAACCTTTTATACAATTTTTCCAGACTGGAGGCGTGAATCTCTCGAAAATTGATGGTTCCCGTGGTAGTATAACGTTACGGCAAGCTCGCAACGATATGCTCACCTCACTCCCGCATGCTCTCGCCACTATTTGTGACTTGTGGACTGTGGTCAGGAGCAAGGAGGAACCCCGTCTGCCATTGGGATCACCTCAGGTGAGAGTTTACTCTGTGAATGGTGCTCGATCAGCAGGTTTCAGCCGGGGGTTAGCTTCTTCGTTGGATTTTTTTTCACTCTGCCACTTCAAACTTTTTGAAGTGGAACCAAGGACTATAAGTCTTCGATCTCTGAAAGATTTTTTTTCTTGAAACTTCTGCTGAATAAGGCAATCCCTAGTCAACAAATCTATACCGCAGTTCATTGTTAATGACAACCATATTATCCGAACGCGGCGTTTTCAATAAGATCTAACTTTTTCATCATTACTTTTTTGTCGATTGATTGGAGACCTGCGGGTATTGGAAGGACAAAATATCCTTCACTGTTTTTTACAACTGCTTGGAGCAATAGATGATAGGAAGAGGAAATAATGTTCGTGAACTTCTATGCCTTGGCCTCACTTCTTCCCTGTTGGGTCAGAGCCCGAATGATGCTATTTAGCTGCGACTGCTCGCGCGATTGAGTTAGTCTGCTCTTACTCAATAGTGAGGTGGAGGCACTTTTGCGTCTTCAGAGGGACAGAAACCGCAATGACTTCCGCATTTTTTCCTATCCACTTCATGTGGACCAATAGATAAACGTCTTAGACGCTGTAAAATCTTACTTTGTGCCGCTACTTACTACATTTTTCAGCATCTTCGACGATTGATCCTGGATCTACTATCGCCCATAGCCCAGCATCACCAGCAAGCCTTCCTCACAGCGCTTTCTCTGGTTTGGTTGACTCGTTCAGGAACTGGCATTTCATCTCAAAAGAAACTGGATCCAGATCTGGTTAGCACCTTGAGATTCTTGTTTGGCAGTACCTATTTGACTAACTTGCCTAAGTTTACGTGATTGAATTCTATTGAGTAATTATCCAGTTTTTAACCTGAAAGCTCGCTATTGCAGCCCAATTTCCACTACAGTCCTGTTCAACATGACATAGCCAACTTGTTGCTGAGTCTGAAAGTGATATCGTTTGAAGAATTGATCGCCGCTGTCAATGAGACACTTAAAGAAGTCGGTGTGAAAGCATCAAAGATAGGAGCTGGTGAAAAGGTAGGTAACCTACTCAGAATTTCGTCAGAATGAGACCTTTGACATGTATGAGATTTGACGAATAAAATCTCTTCCCCTTCATAATTCTCTGGACGTGCTTCCTGGCAAAGCCATACATAATAACTGCAAATTCGCGACATATAAAACCCACTTATGTTCTCAATGTTCAGGCAACTTTCCCCACTGAAGCACCGTTGCTAGAGTTGGTACATGGCTGCATAAAAGCATTACCGACTGCTCAGCTTCGATCGTGTTGGTCACCTTTTCAATCACTGTTTGCCGATGCCCCACTTGCTAACTTGCCACCACGTGCAGTATTCCTTCTGTATATGTAAGTTGTAAATATGGCTAAACTACATTACTATGAAAAATCATGTTTCCATCTCGTTTCAGTGACCATATATGCGTCATGGAAACAATTTCAAAAAAAAATAATTCTTCGTGTATCACGAACGTGTTCAGGCTTGGCTAGATACGAGCGAAATTAGTTTTTTACAGAATTCTGTGTGACTATGTGCGATGTGCTGGTGCATCATATATCGTCGAAGACAAGACGATGTCTCGAGCTGTGCAAGATGCTGTTCAAAGGCTGACCGAAGCTGTTAATGCGATTGTTGGCTGGCAATTGGAAACAACTACTTGGTTGAAAAGGACGCTCGTTGTCAAGCACGACCAAGGTGCTGATACGAAATGTGATTTTTTTTACTCGATTTCGGCTAACGGTTCTTCATTAGTGGTGCATTTGAAGTACGCGACGTTATATTTGCTTTTTATTAGGTTACTCTCTAATCTTATAGACAAGAGCGCTCAAAGACTCGCTCGAAGGTTTGGTGTTAGACGCCTTCTTTGGGAAAGGTCGTTCCGTGCGCAAGCATGAATATGCCTCTTCGCAGCTTAAAAACACGTGCAAAAGGGTAGCCCCGCTCGCGACAGGGCCACGGTCGTGCCCACTGGCCAGAGCAGCTCCTACCTTCCATTTTTAGAGGCTTCCTGGTGGTGCGGTTGTTGCGCTATGAACTCTCACCATTCCGAATGGTGAGATGAGCTAATAAAGCGAAAGAGCTGACCCCAACAGGTGAGAACTCGTCTGAGTGCGCCCTTTTCGCCTCATGCACCTACGAGCGCTGTGCAGCATGAGCTCCTATATGCAACATTTCAAGCGAGTTTTTTTCCCTTTTTTTGCTTCATTAATGCTTACTTACCGTCTTGTCAGTGGTATTTAAGCCGCATAACTCACCATTTTTAAACGCGGGACCTGCCTTCAATAGGTAAGCATAGTCTGCGCCTGAATGCAGGTACGTGCGTGCACGAATATCTTAATATGTTCCTTCTTGCTTTCAAATTGCTGTTCAAGAAAAAATGAGGAGTCGAGACATCTCTAATCCGAACACTGGTGGTTGTCCGAATTTTCTTGCAGATATTTGATCACTCTTATCTATAACGGTTCAGTGTACTCTTATTTAGCTCCAGTATTCTAACGATGCCATACAGTAATTTGAATGATACTTAAGGTCCTCGATCGCAAGACGGTAGTCCTTCAGTGGAAGCAAGCACACCTTTGAATACACCACTGCCTTCGCTGAACCCATCAGAACAGAACTCCATGCGTGGTTCGACGCTGTCGCTGATGACACGGTATTTCACTCTTAGATGGTCTCATAGAATTTGACATTCATGCGTTTTTAAGTTTTTTTTTGAGTATTGTATCTGCTGTTCAACGTCGCAGTTCGTGCTTCGGAAGTTATAACAAGAATGCTGAATTATGGGCAAAAGTCAAACCTCAGACGATAGTCGAGCCCGCATCTTCCGCTTACCGGACGAGTGAGCGAAGGCGTAGTGGTTAGCGCATTCGCCCGGTAAGCGAGGGATGCGAGTTCAGGTCCCGTTTGAGATTTGACTTTTGCCCATAACTCAGCATTCTTGTGATTACTTATGCATTATGCATTAAATATTCAGTTCAAGTATTTATTTATTTAATCTTCACGTACTTATTTATTTAATATGAATCACATTGCATTTCGTTAGCCAATCTCTCGAATTTTAAATCATTTTCAATTTAACAGCTCAATACAAGAAGTGTTCAGACCGTCGTCATTGGACACTGGTACCACAAGTGTTGGTCCTCTGAACGAGAAGAAGAGCAGCTCCAACTTACGTGGCTCCGTGAAAGACAGTAACAACAACAAGAGAGATCCTGCACATAGTACACAAGCTCTTTTTATCCTAGCAGAGGTTCGTTTGGTTCAGTTTGGGAGTTTTTTCCGAGGGTTTCTTCGTCACCAGTAATTTTATTGAAACTATGTTTATGCACTACATTTGGCACTCCCCAGTATCCCTCTTTTGTTTCAGAATTTGGCTGAGTTGGTGGATTCTGTTTGTAAGAGTGATGATAAAGAACGCCTGTTGCCTACATTGCATGCTGTATGGGGAAATGTGGTTCCTTATTTGAAAGCAAAGAAGTAAGAAGTTTTGTTGTCTCGGGAACCTGCTATATGAGTGATATATTTCAGTGCTCGCAATTCCCGCTTTTTCCTGGCATCATCGCAGCTGTTAGCTTCAATGAGCTCCTTCAGTTACATGCGCCCCGTATGGAAAAAGACTACGCTCGAGTTGTTACTCGATTCATGTAAGTATGGCAGACCATATAATTTCATTATTTCGTTCGTGCCCGGAAAAAGTCAATCACTTTTCAGCTTTCTTCAAGATGGATATGCAGTCTTTGAAACAGTGGTTAATTGTGACAGACCATCTTATGACGCATGATAAGACCTCGTTCAAGGATTTGCTGAGTGAGCACTGTTCTTTTTGCTGAAAATAACAATAGATGCAGATGTGATGTAGGGCCCGCTTACCAGGCGTGCGGTCCGCTGGTCAAGTCCCGGACCGGCTTTAGCCCAGGCTCAAGCCTTCTTTGCTCTTGGGACGGGAGTGGAAGGGGGGGGGGGAGGGGGTGGAGATGAGGATACAAATTCTGGCATCTACATCGACCGGCAACCATAAAACATTGTATAAGCCTTATCGCATCTAAGCCACTACGACTCCGAACGGAACTAATATGCGTGGCGTATTCCCGAAAGGGATGGATCAAGGTGGTCGGAAGATTTAATCTGTATACTTACGATGACGAACCCTCTTTTCTCGCTTGACCTTCTGCTTTGTCTTGTTTGTCTCCTTTTTCGTTCTCCCTCACAAAAGTGACAGAGGAGGTCACATCATTAGGAACAAACTTGGGAATGTAGTTAAAGGCGAACTCTGCAATTGTATATTGTGGATTGTGGCGTTCAGTCACGAATCTGTATTCGCTTAATGACCCTTCAGGAGAGAAAAAAACGAAAGAATCATGGAGAACACCCTGAGAGGACCTGGTAGCCTCTTTGGTTGGGTTCTCCAGACATGCTCGTTTTATGCCAGAGGGCGATGTCCTGTCGCTTCTGGCTCACTAACCGTTTCTTCGCGTCAAACAGTGCTAATGCCGCATAACAGTGAAAAAAGACGAACTGAACTCGTGAGAGGAAATAGCCTTTGAGTTTCGGTGGGCGGGACAAACGAGGAGGCGTCAAGTGCCACTTGTAGAAGCCGCAAAAATAGGATAATCTTAGAGACTGAGGGCCAGACTACGTTTACAAGGAAGGACGCCCACGAATTGCTTAAGCGTGGGGACTGTCTTTAGGTGGTCATATCGATGTAGCTTCCTTCCTAACAACTTTCGCTATGAAGCGGTGTACAAAATTTTCAATACTTTCGAGAAGACCACACGCAATGCCTCTGTCGAATAGTCTCTTACCTGGATCTTAGGAACTTAATCGAGGTTCTATGATAGTCTGTTTGTTTGATAAATAATCCTTTGCTCCTTTTCAGAAAGCATAGCTTATACGCCGAATGCGTCGTTCAGCATTATGACATCGAAAGAGCAGGAGTACGAAGCTAGAGCCCAGGCAGTCAAAAGACTTGCATTCGTTGTCATGGGATCTGAACTGGATCAGTACCAAGGACAAATGAATGACATTCAAGGTGAGTGATACTTTTGACTTAAAAATCTTCTTTCTCTCTTGGAGTGAAACGAAGTTCATTGGCACAAGCAGTCGTTTTTCGACTGAGATCACCCTCCTGTGCCAAAACACTTCAACTTCAAAATCTGAATTGAAATTAATACGCATTTCAGAGCGTCTGTCAGAAAATCTCCGGGTCTCACAATCACCATCAATACGATCGGCAGTGTTTCTGTGCATTCGAGTTCTTCTTCTGCGTTTACGACCACCAAGTCTGGTGGGAATATGGCCTATTATGGTCACTGAATTGGTAGGGCTATTTTTCTCCATGACAGCATGCATTTTTCTTACGTTTTCCTTTTTATTCTGCTGGGAGGAACTATTAAACCTGTTTTTATTTCACGACATTCCTCAAGTTGGTTGGTCTTCTAAAAACTTATATTCGATCCTGTTTAGGTCCATGTTCTTTTACAAATGGAGCAACAGCTCTGCGCAGAAGGAAATGGTATAGAGGATCTTGGCTGTGCCAGAGATGATGCCTGGATGCAGCTCTACTTGGCTGCATGCAAGATGCTTGAGACCCTCTGCACATTGCCTGCTGGATATCTGGCGCAATTCCAAATGTTAGTGAAATTTGTGATTTCCTGATATTATCGAGGGAATAGTTCCTGCTATTTTATGGGTGTTTTGAGAAATTCAGTGGAAATGAGGAAGAAATTTTAACACCCATAATCAATAAGAACAACTCTGGAACCTTCATCGATTAAAAGCGGACTGGATCAGTGGCGTTCTGTTCAGCACAAATGAAATTTTGTGAAAAATGTGCTGAGTGAATCGAAGTTTCTCAGGAACGACGAAAAACTTGCCACAATTTAAAGAGAAACGAGATTCGAAACCGTTATTAGCTCATAGAAAGTAACCGATTTTTCTTACAGGTGCCACTGGGCTTTTGTGAATTCTGTAGCCACGAGTAAAAACGACATGTTTCTGCCATTTGCAGGACGAATAAATAAGCTTCTACGGACAAAGGTAGGGTTCTCGGAGAGCTTGCCTATCTTTCCGTGCTTTTTGTATGGGATTTTCACTGTTTCATGCAGTTTCAGTGAAAGGCTAGACAGTGATTCTTGTAGTTGTAACTGCGATTTGTACTTATAATCGTGTTTCAGTTCGGTAAATTGACACCGGAAGAACTGGCAAATCTTTCGCCGTCGCTGTGTGGAATGAAGATGTTAACAAGTTTCGAAGAACTGCGACCGTTCTTTTATGCGCTAGCCACCCAAAGCAAAGCGTTGCCAGGGATACATCAGGTTATTACTTGTACTTTTTTTCCTCCTTTTTAAATATTGAATTACTTGCTGTTAGTTGAAGGCAGTAGAATTCCATCGAACAATTAGCAGGGTTTATTCAAAAGCTCACTTAATTCTGCTCTGCAACTTCGTTAGTGTAATGGTTTAGGGAGTATGCTGAGGCAGTGGCTATCTAGTTGGATGGAAAAGCGACTAATGGGCGTGATTTGCCTGAGGGGGGTGGTCTGTAAAGGACTCCTGGAAGAATCATTCTAGTACTGCATGTTTGTTCAAAACTGAGATGGTTGGACGGGGATGAGTAATTCTGTCTGAGGACGGGGATGAGTAATTCTGTCTGAAACTGGGAGAGAGGGAACTCCTAGGTAGGTGGACCGAATTTTTTGCGCAAGTCATATGTTTCGCCTCTCTGTAATTCCAGTCTGAACTAGGAGCCAGGTGCCCTTAAAATGCTCCCTCACACTGGCAACTACTTAGGATCACAAATGAGAAAATTCGGCATTTTATACGTTCTTATGATCACTCCACTCAATATCCTCCGGTCGTGTTAGAGTGCGCTGATTGGTTCAGGAAGTTAGTAAGTTGAAAAATTGAGGAGCGGGCCGTACTAGAGATGCGATTTTTTGGATTTGGATTATTATGTCACGGATCTTTTCGGTTTCGCATACTGGACGAATCTTTATTCAAAATAGTGTTTCATTTCCCTTGTCAATATTTAGGAACAGGGCACTTCCGGCCGCTGTGGGAAAGCTTTGGAAAACAGAACCTCCCCCGAAATTTTCTCTCTGCTGAAGTGCGACCCCCCTCCTTCCCCCAGCCTTCATGCTCTCCCCCATCTTCCTATGTTCTCTGAAACTCCTACCTTTTTTCCAGAATGTTTTTTTGCGACACAGAACATTTCCCTAGAACGATCCTCCTACCACTGACGAGCAGATGCAACCAGCTCCCATCCAGGGCGCATCATTGTTGGGGATTCCCCAAGAGGGGCCGTATTTAGTCGCTGGAGGGAGGGGAGGAGGTCATACTTGGTAAGAGAAGAACTTCTTTTGAGCAGTTGAATTTTCTTGGTTCAATGGTGCTATAAGGGGGAGGGGGTCGTATGGACTCGACAGAAACCCCAACTAATGATGGGCCTTGCCCCCAACTCTCCCACTGGGACTGAGCCAACGATGTAAACAACGCCCATGAAACAGCAAAAACCACCTACCAGAAAAAGTTTTCTCTGGCCAGATACGGCCAACCTCTCCCTCTACGAACCAAGTGGGGTTCCTGGACGTGCGACGTGCCCTACTTCGAAAATACTAAGGCAAGAGCTTTCCATTGAAACCTTTGAAGTTCTTCACGAGTTCGTCGTAGGGTTTGGAGCCGGGTTAATCTGACACCTCGGATCCTTGCTGGCGGCTTAGCACTCCTCAGTGGCCCCTGGAAATTCTTTTATTTGGTCCGATCTCACAGTGTGTGTATTTGTGAATTCTTCCTTCGATGGATTTTTTTTCAGAATTCTGGAAACGAATCATCATTTCTTACCGGATCGCTTTCATATAAAAATGCTGTAAATCGCCTAGAACATGCTCTATGTGTGGATTTCGCCGAACATTGGCAGCTTTAGTGTAACGTTTTCAACATCAGAAAAGAAATCATAGATGCTGTGATGCTTATTAGTTTATCATTATAATACGAGTACATTTTTGTTTTTTTTTCGAATAAAATAAAGCGCTCGCTTAGAATAGGTTATGAGAGGCGTAATTGATCAGAGCTAGTCGATCATTGGGACCCTGGAGTGTTTTGATGAATGTCTGTCTGTTTTATTCTGCATCTCTTAAATTAAATGTCAGCTAGTTTTGATGTGATCAACTAGTTTTTTTTCCTCCTTTTCTATTTGTACATTGACCAGTGAGTACATCATCATTATCATATCTCTGGTGTGTTTCCAATATGTCCAATAATTGTGATGAGTACAGTAGCGTGTAGAAGGTATACTTGTAAATTCTTATTTTACTTAGTCAAAGTTTTTTTCTTTGCATGTGATCGTCATGATCGTACTAAATCGCCGGTCAAATTTTCTGTAGATATATTTCTTCTCTTCACTCTTAGCCTCAGCTCTTCTCATGCCAGTAAGGAGTTCCTTACGGCCGCACTTTTTCATAATAGCAAATCCTCTTGTATATTATTCTTATTAAATTTATAATCGGAAGGCGTGTTTAGGAGATACTGCGCTAATCGTTTACTTGACTTACTCTCAAGGAATCTATATAATTAAGTATCCGTGAGCCAAATATCGATGTGTATTGCTTAGGATTTTCCTCTTCTATTGTGGTCCTGTCATGATGACTAGACTTAGCTATGTTCCCTATGCTCGCGGTGATGAATCACAACGCGTACAATGTGATAATTGTTCTAACGAGAATTGCGTGTCGTATAAAATTCTTTGGATTATTACGTTTCAAAAGTTTTCAAAATATGTTCGCGTAGTCGTCCTGGTACGTTGTTCAGGGCCGATATCATCCGTGATGTTTGTTGGCGTCTGTGAACTGTTTCGGTGAACGAGCGCCCTGAGCTTCCACTAAGACATGATTATTGAAGAAAAACCGACGGGATACAGTACCGCCGAAAACTGCGCGTGAAATAAAATATGTTAGCCCAAGAGTGCAGACAACTGGGCATACCGGTTCCCGGCATAAACTGGTTCAGTTGCCTAAGTTAAATCAGCCTGCATTATACCCTTTTTGCATGGCTTGGTTGATGTTCAAACTATCATTGACTAAGACCCTTTGGAGGGGGACGGGCCGAGGAGGGAAAAACCCATCCAGGCTCGTACGCGGCGGGGTTGTGACGTCAGCGTGCTCCGATCAGCAGCCGCTTTTATGTGGAAGGAAAAAGAGAGAAAAGAGGATTGAACAAATAGTGGATGCGTATAGGTGAGTTAGTGGTAGTGGTGAGAGAATACAGAAAAGTCGACTATCAGGGCGAATTACTTCAGTAAATGGCGAAACAGGCGAAATAGTTTCCTTCGATTACCGTTATACCGTTATAAGGTCACATCTAACTGTAAGCAATTTGCCAAATCTCACCTTAAAGGCACATTCCGCGATAAAATAAGGCTATGACCTCTCAAATGTGTCGGACGATTTTTGAGGCTGCGCTACTTTCAAAATGTGAAAAACTGCAAGTAAACCCCAGTTGCCAATGCGGTAAAGCTAATACTATCCCTGGTAGTTCGTTGGCGGCGCCTACGCCCCCACTAGCCGCCAGTTTCTTGGGAAAATCATATCGAGATCGTGGTGAGAGAGGGTCGTAGAGTGGAAGTTTGGAGGGGGGAACAAAGTAGTATTCTCCCCCTCACGGTGCTGTGCACGCTGCTTGACCAACACTCCACATCCTTATTCACGTGTGATGTTGATAGTTTTTTCTGGAGACAGGTTCGCGATCATCTGATGTGCAGAAGCCCTTCGAGCACTGTTCGCCGCCAGAGTAGGTCGACGTTCAAGTCTGAATACAGTCAGATTGTGATAATGTTTTGGTAGCCGTTTCATGAGATACAAAGCTACATCTTCACAAAGTTGACTCAGCGAAGCCTGCTCTATTCGTAAGCCTCATGCAAGTTAACAGACCCCACCCTATGTAAACTCTTTCAAGAGAATCCGGAGGTTAGCACCTACGGTCCTGCGATTAGACAATCCATCCAGCGCTCTAAGTTGCTTCCAGGCCCTCTCAAAGCCTTGTAATCCACGATATGATGTCTGGTTTACAACACAATGCGGTTGATACACTCGACAGTTTGCACCTACGGACGCGATATCGGAACCGCGAATAGCGGAGTTTTCTCCGCACCGCACCTCATGAGGTCTTGAACTTTTGTGCATGGTCCTGTCCTTTTGCAAAACCATGTAACGCTGACAGGTAGAGGACAGCATCGCAATGTGCAACAAACATACGGCGAGCCAGGGGATGGGGTACGTGCTAACGGGAGGCGCGGTCACAAAGATCCTTTCGCTTGGATCGTGCGATCGGATCGCTCGAGCGATAGATTCGCGATGCGAGATGGGCTCGCGAGGTATGAGCATGCTCTGACTCACCTCCTCGGCTGTGCTTTCGTATGGCTGTGTAGGTTAAGATGATGCTCTCCCAGAAGAGTAAACGACTGAACGAGTTTTGTTTTGAATGCAAGTGACACAGCGTTTTTTGCTGCTTCACTGTTGCACTATTGAGAGCCTCTACATCGGTTTTCTTTTTGCAGGGGACCCAATTCTGTTTGCCTTTTGACTTTAATCACGAATAAGAAGCAATAAAGCCCAGAACATTTTGAATGTGGCGCTTCGATTCTCATAAAATTCAAGAAGTTTTCCCTTCCCCCCAGCCGTTTTGCTTCAGGCTTTGAGATACCGAGTGCCCAAGCCGGACCGCATATCTGGTGAAGGTGGAGAGATTTGAATGAGAATCTTCTTGATTGGCATTTCCATGGAAACGCACCAGTGATTTGACAACTCGGCGACGCTTCATTTCAATTCCAGATTACAAGCAACGTTGAGATAAAGAAAGCGCGTCAGTAAAGAGTGGAGTAAGGAGTCCGTAAGGTTCCAAATGTGTTCGAGTTATTTGAGTGCCACAATTCTTGTTCGATTTGCAACTTTTTACTGTATTTGATTCTCCTCTCTTCCTATGAACATTCAGTCAACAGTATCACCTGTATGCCCTGTGCTCCCGTTGATCATCGAGTTTCTCGAGCGAGCGCCAGTAACGTCTCCATTCTTCCCTGCAACGTGCAAGGGTTGCCCAATGAACTCTCTCTGTCGAAGCTCTGAGGCTACTTCATAACCATTCGTTAAAAGGCTTTCACGCAAGAAATCTGACCATCCGCGTAGGGCGGTCGTCCAATGTGTTCGTGTTGACATCCCGTGGAATCCAGTCGGTGATCGCTCTCGGCGTCCTCGAAACGCATGACGTGCCCGGCCCACCTGATCTTCGAAACCTTGGCAAATGCGGCGGCGTCTCTGATCTTCGATCGTCGGCGGAGTGCGGAGCTCCGGATTCCCTCTCTCACTTGCGTGTAGCGGGAAACTCCGAGCATCGCCTTTTTGATGGTACGTTGAATAACGCGACGTACTCATTCCTGCTTTCGTAGAGTCCAAGTCTCTGAGGCGTATGTCAAGGCAGGAAGGACCGCGGAATCAAAGAGGTGGGCACGGAGCTTGGTGTTCTTCGTCTTCTCGCTAATGCCCTCGATTTATCTGAAGCTCCCAAGCCGCTCGCTTCCTCCTGCTCAGCTCTGGAGCTAGGTCATTCATCGATTTCACGACCCAGGTACACATAGCTAGAGCATTCAGAGATGGTCGTTCCTTGAGCGTGAATGGGGCATCAGAAACCAATCCGTTTCTCATGAACATCGTCTTCGTTAGATTCAGCCGTAGACCGATTTTTCCACACGCGCAGCCAGCATTCGTTCCGCTTGCTCGATGTTTGGTGTTATCAAAACGATGTCGTCAGCAAAGCGGAGATGGTGTAGTTGCCGACCGTCGATCTTCACTCCCATGTCCCATTCCAGTTGACGCATGACGTTCTCGAGAGAGGCGCTGAAGAGCTTGGGCGAGATGGTGTCGCCCTGGCGGACCCCTCTCTTCACGTCGATGATGATCTCCTTGTAGAATGGTGAGATCCTGGTCGTGAAGTTGCTGTAGAGCTCACGAAGAATCCTGATGTTGAGTAGGAAATACCCTTGTTGCCCAGAGCTTCGATAACCGCTTCTGTCTCAACGGAGTCGAAGGCTTTCTTCAAGTCGATGAACGTGAGACATAGCGGCATCTTGTACTCTCGCGATACTTCAATGAGCTTCGTTACCGTGTGGAATGTGATCGTGCTGAATCCTCTTCGGAACCCTGCTTGCTCGCATGGCTGTCCTTCGTCTAGTGTTCTGCCAATCCTGTTCAGGATGACTCGTGTGAAGAGTTTGTAGACTACAGACAGCAGGCAGATTGGGCGATAATTGCCAATGTCGTACAGGTCTCCCTTCTTGTACAGCAACACAGTCTTGCTGGTTTTCCACGAGGTGGGTACCTTGCATTCGACATAGCGAGGGAACAGTCGAGACAGAAGTTATATGACAAGAACTGGCGGACAAGAATCTTCAGAATGGTCGAAGAGATCTAGATCCTGTCGGGACCGAGAGAAAATAAATAGACCAACGTAACGAATTCTCACCGAACGAGAGGACGAAGTCAACAAGTTTCACTGATATTTGATCCAGATTGAATATGGGAAGTGAAAATGGAATGGTATTCGTCAAAGAAATGGGAGCTAACGAATCAGAAAATAAACTGGAGAGGATCGTTTTTAGGATTGAGTTTACAAGTCTAACCTTAAGGTACCGACAAATAGAAAGCCCACCAATTAGGGGAAAGAAGGTCTTAAACTGAGGAGCGGAAGTCATCACGGGGTATAGTAGACAAGAGACGAATCGAATATTGAACCGCAGCTGCTGCGACGTCGCGTGCCCGAACAGCCCGCCCGCAAAAGGACGACAAGCGTTTCCAGGCAGTAGACGAGGCGCACAAACATACATAAAGACAACGAAACCAGAAGTAACGAGAACACGGAGTGAATCTACAAAGGTGA